GATTCATCAAATTCTGCAAGTGAAGGCTGAAGACTACCATGGAGTAACATTCTACACTTACATACTTCAACGCACCGATGGGAGCGAATTTACTTGTCAAGAGAACGACTTCATCATGCTGAAACCGGATGACATCTACCAAATGCTCATGGCCTACAGATACCTTCCAGTCAGACAGAGCATAGTATACAGTGAAGGCCTCGCAGCTATCAAGAGATTCATGCTCAGACAAATCCGAGTACATTCTTCACATGACCTACAGATGGCTATTGAATGCAATCTGAAGAAGACAAATCTGACAAAGCCAAAATTGTATGGTCCAGAAATTGAAGATTTCCCAGCCTACCACATCTTCTTCGCACCGCCAGCAGTCACCTATCTGAACCACAAGAACGAAAAGCGTCTGATGGTAGTCAGTGAAATCGAGAAGTACTGCGACGGAACACTGAAGATAATCAGAGAGCAGATTCTACAGATGAAGGCAAAGCTGGAAGAAAATCTTCAAGAGGCATCGTCTTACGTTCAAAAGGAACACTCTACTGTAGAGAAAATTTTAAAGGCCATTGACGATCGCCTCGAAAAGAGAAATATGCTGAGGCAGTATGAACATGCACTTGGTTTGAGGAAGCACTACTTCAAATCACAGAAGCAATAAGAGAATGGCACTTGATCACAAAGGGGGAGATTGTTGGAGATATTTTATTGTGAATCAAGTTGGTCATAGATTAGCTTTATATTGTATTTAAATAGTGCATAAATTAGATAGAAATCAGGCCAAGTGTTAGGCCCATTTAAACAGGCCAAAAGCCTGGTACGCCTAACCTAAACCTCGCCTATAAAAAGAGAGCCGAGGTTTAGGAAAAGGTTGAACGTCGTACTTATTATTCATAGCCTTACGCTTATATCATTCTGCTGTACGTTCCACGGTTTATCAAAGAAGGTTTTACGGTGATTCATTCTGTGTTCATCTTTACGTTTAATCTTCCTTGTTAGATCGATTATTCATTGCTGTTACAGAAACAGGGACTAACACGGTGCATCTGCGCATATGACCTCTCAGGAAGGTATTTTAGCTAATAAATCTATTTATTCTGGACCACTTGCTGTTACTGTAGCTAATGGAACTAATTTACCCATTAAAAATATTGGTGATATTTCTATTAAATCTTTACCTAAGCCTCTCCATTTACGATCTGTTTTTCATGTTCCTAATATTAAATATAATCTGCTTTCTATTCAAAAGCTGTGTTCTGATAATAATTGCATGGTAATTTTTGACAAAAACTCTGTTTTGATTAAGGACAAACTCACGGGGGCGGATCTTCTTCGGGCTTCCAGTAGTGGCAATCTTTATCCCATTCGTTTTTCTCCATCACCACCGTTGGCTTTGTTCTCTAGTGCAACACTTGGACCACTTTGGCATCGCCGGTTGGGACACTGTGGCTCTAGAGTTTTAGATGGTCTTAGGAAGTCTGGTCAGCTTAGTAGTCTTTCTTCATTTAATCATGATTGTATTTCGTGTCGTTTGGGTAAATCTCAACGATTACCCTTTCAAGAAGTCTCTCATTATGATTGATTACCCTTTATTTTTAATTCATTCTGATGTGTGGCAATCTCCTGTGCTTTCATCTTCTGGTTTCAAGTATTATGTTTCATTTATTGATTATTATTCTCGTTTTACTTGGATTTTTCCGATGCGTCGTAAAAGTGAAGTCTTTACACATTTTCAATCTTTCAAGCGCCTGGTGGAAAATTTATTGGATCATAAAATTAAAATTTTTCAAAGTGATGGAGGGGGTGAATTTGATAATTTAAGTATGCGGTCTTTTTTTAATGATCATGGAATTCTTTTTCAAAAATCCTGCCCAGACACTCCTTAACAGAATGGTTTAGCTGAACGCAAACATAGACATCTCCTTGAGTTAGCTAGAACTATGCTGATTGATGCTGGTCTGCCAGCTATTTTTTGGGTTGAGGCTCTTCTGACTGCTACTTTTATTATTAATCGCCTACCTTCTACAAAATTTACTAGTTTTTCCCCTTACCAAAAATTATTCCACCGGACCCCAGACTTCTCTTTTATGCGTGTGTTTGGATGTGCTTGTTACCCTAATTTTACTGCCACATCCACAAATAAGCTTTCCCCACGTTCTACTCAGTGTGTTTTTCTAGGATATGCGTCTGAATATAAAGGCTATCGTTGTCTTGATCCCCGGACAGGTAAAATTTATGTTAGTCGTCATGTCAAGTTTCATGAAAACATTTTTCCATATACTCAACTGGTATCCCAAGTGTCGTCCGAGTCTTCCACAATGCAACCATGTTCTCCTACTTTCTCCATGACATCTCCATTATCTTCCACTTCTACTGGACAGCCCCCGGATCTTCCGTCTACATCTCCGATTTCTCGGCATACGTCCCCCGAGAGCCATGTCGTTTACCAATTTTCCTCAACTGCTACGCCGAATACCACCAGCAGAACATCATCGCCTGGGCCAGCCTCTCCGGTTGTTCCCAGCTCACCGGTGAGTTCTGCCGTGACGGATAGTTCGCCGTCTGGCAGCGATGATAACGGCACGGTATCGGTGTCTCCTCCGTCCTTGGTCCCAAATGTTCATCCCATGCAAACACACTCCAAGTCAGGAATTTTTAAACCAAAAACGATTTTTAATTTAAACACTCAGGTTTTGGTTCCTGACCCTACTTGTTTTTCTGTGGCTAATAAAGATCTTAAATGGAGAGCTGCTATGGCTGAAGAATTTAATGCACTTATTGCTAAAATCGTGGGAATTAGTACCATTTGATTCTAGTAAAAATGTGGTTGGGTCTAAATGGATTTATAAAACTAAATATCGATCTGATGGATCTATTGAACGACATAAAGCACGTCTGGTTGCTCAAGGGTTTAAGCAGCAGGCTGGGGTTGACTTTTCTGAAACTTTTAGTCCTGTTGTTAAACCCACCACTGTTCGCATTGTTCTTACTATAGCTGTTTCTTTCAATTGGTCTATTCGACAGTTGGATGTTAAAAATGCATTTTTACATGGTAATCTGACTGAAGAAGTTTACATGCGTCAGCCACCCGGGTTTACTCATCCCCAGTTTCCTAATCATATTTTTCGCTTGCGCAAGGCCATTTATGGTCTTAAACAAGCTCCCCGGGCATGGTTTTATCGTTTCAGTAGTTTTCTCTTGAGTCATGGTTTTATTTGTAGCCGTGCAGATAATTCTCTCTTCATATTTCGTCCTGGCAACCATATTATTTATTTGCTTCTCTATGTGGATGATATAATTGTTACTGGGAATTCTTCATCTTTTATCAGTCACCGGGTAAATGTTTTGCCATGAAAGATCTCGGTAATCTGCACTTTTTCTTGGGGGTTCAGGCTGTGCGTAATTCCACTGGTTTATTTCTCTCTCAAGCCAAATATGTGTCGGATCTCTTAACTCGTTTTCATCTTCACACTCTTAAATCTGTTCGCACGCCACTTGCTAATAGAACTAAGTTGTCTCTCACTGATGGTGAGTTAATTGCTGATCCCACAGAGTACCGTAGCATGGTAGGTGCATTGCAGTATTTGACTATGACTAGACCTGATATTACATATGCTGTTCATTTGGTGTCTTAATTTTATGCATGCTCCTCGTACTTCACATATGTTGGCTGTCAAAAGGATTTTCAGGTATCTCATAGGTACTCTCACGCATGGACTTCATCTTCAGCAGGCAGAACGTCCACTATCTGTTATTGCGTACTCTGATGCTGATTGGGCTGGTTGCCCTGATAGTAGCCGCTCCACCTCTGGCTATGCTGTTTTTCTGGGTCCTAGTTTGGTCTCTTGGCGCTCCAAGAAGCAACCCACTGTCTCGAGATCCTCTACAGAAGCTGAGTATCGCGCTATTGCATATACTGTACAGGACACATTACACGTTCGGTCTATTCTGTTTGAGCTTGGATTTCCTCTGCATCGACCGGTTCGGCTTCTGTGTGATAATATTTCTGCATCTTATTTATCAGCTAATCCTATTCAGCATGCTCGCAGTAAGCATATTGATATTGATTATCATTTTGTTCGAGAGCATGTGGCTCATGGTGATCTATTGGTGCAGTATGTTCCTACAAAGTTTCAGTTAGCTGATATTTTCACCAAAAGTTTGGCACCTCAACAATTTCTATTTCTTCGAGACAATCTACGCGTAGTTCCTCCTGCATAGATTGAGGGGGTGTAATAGTGTAGTATTGATTGTTATTAATTACTAGGCAATATCCTAATTGTATTTGAACACTTATTTCATTATATATATATATATATATATATATATATATATATATATATACAGTCAGGGCTACCAGTCTGGTCAAGCCTGTTTATTACTTTCACAATTAGAAGATAAGTTGCTAACGGTTGAGCGAGGGAATGAAGCGAGATAATTTTCTCTCTCCTATGTAGTGTTTTTAGGTATAAGCTAATCCGACTAACAATTGATTGAGTGGGACAATGTTCTGTTATATATAGTTCTTTTAGGCGTAAGAGAAACTGATTGAGTATTTAGCAGAATAGTTTTCTCTCTCATATCTTAGTTCTAATTTAACTAATGAGTAGCAACTAACAACTTCTTTTTCAACTAATACTATTCATTAATTGTAATAATTATTCTTCTCACTTAAACTTCACGTCACTCACCTATTGTTCTCACTTTTTCAGAATAGTATTTAATTTTAAATTTAATTTAATCATGAAAATTTATAAGTAGTAAATTCTAATGAATGATGTCAATTGATTTTTCCTAATATACTCTTTATTGAATATGTATTTGATGAGCTTATACTTTATGGTATTAACTTATTGTACTCTTATTTTTCAAAAATGATGAATTCTACAAAGTATTTTTATTTTAATATTTAATTAAATCGTGTGTAAAAATGATGAATTCTACAAATGCTTTATTTCGTGCGTATGGACTGGTTAGAGATTCAAACATTTTAAAACGACAATTGTTGTTCTTGTATCATACAAGTATTGACGGACGGAAAACGGTTTCCTGTAACCAGCATAACTGATTAGCTGCCATAAGAGATGAACTCATTTACAGGGTTCCGTTTCAGAGCGAAATGGATTGGTTCGGTTCCAGACTCATTCGTCTACACACAAATCAGGGTTAGTGGCAGTGGCAGGGTTAGCCGGAATGTTTGCCGCCATAGCTATGACCTTTCATTCCGCTTCCGTACACATCACTTGTTGCCCCCGTTTTGCCCCCGTCTATGTACCTATGCTCCCTATCTACCCCTCACAGTAAGTGCGAAGAAGAGAACCACCAAGTCTGAGCCAATTCTCAAGCCTTCCATCTCTGAAGAAGTGTTTCCGAATGAAGAAGAAGACGACCTTCTCATTGAGGAGTTTGAAGACGGTAAGTTTATAATATAGATTCTCCCTTTCATCCATCATTTTGATGAATTCATTAATATTAATATTATTTTTGGTGTGCATTATTTTGATTAGCCTTTCCCCCAAATTTTGAGGGGGAAAAGGTAATGAGAAATTGGCTTTACTTTTGATCGTATTAGCTCTACCTAGGTGAGTTTTAGTTGACCACATTGACCTCATTTCCATAATATTAAGTCATTCACCCCGATTCCCCAAAATTGGGGATATGAAAATTGAAAATGGAATCAAGGTAATCACTTCAATCGGCTTGGTTTAATAATATGAATGAGTCCCCAAACGCAGTGAATCAAACTATTGACCCAAATTCACCTAGGTTCACCTCAACCCAAAATTGTTTTTTTTTCAAATTTTTTAATGTAAACTTGATCATAATATGTAAGGCTAGTATAATTACCCTTCAGCCCAGTCCAACTTTAATGTCTGGATCCGCCCATGATAATACTAAGTATGAAGAGTAGTGAGTAATGGAGCTCTAGTCATGAAGAAGTGAATTTAAAATGGCACACATGCAATTTTTTATGGTCAATTGCCATTGAAGGATACTCTGTTTTTTCATCTAGTGGTAGTTAAGGACATAACTCGGTTCTGCCTCCCACAAATGTTTTTAAAAAGGAATAGACGTGTATACTGCTTTCATATAATAATTTGTTGGTCATCTGAAGCTGTAATATTACATAAAGATTCTGCGAAGGTATAAGGTCTATTGTACAATCACTTGCCTAATTTCCTTTTTTAATGCCTTGGTATAGTGCTTTTGGTTCAAAATCTGCTGGAGTTTAGTATAGTTATATTTGCACTTCCTCTCAAATCCCCTCAAATTGAAGCGTATGGAGACTCTAAGAGTATGTTTGGGAGTTTGATTTTGGAGGGGAGGGGAAAGTTGATGGGAGTTTATGACCCTCCTTTTCATGTTTGGGAGTTTAAAAAATTGAAGGGGATGGTTTTGGAGGACTTTTCTCCAAAACCCTCTAAATGCTCAATTGTTAAGTTCCCCAATTTGGAGGGTTTTGAAGCATAATTAAAGAAATCATAATTTAACCTCAATATAAAATGAATATCAATTCAATTATTTGAATTCATCATATCTCGAAGTGATTTAATTATAATTCATTCAAACACTCTCGTTTTCCAAATTTATCACTCCCAAATACAATGAAGGGTTTCCTCAACTTCCCCTCTCTTTCCCCTCCAACAGCATACCTTCAAAGCCTTTCCCTCCCTCCCCCCAAACTCCTAAACATACCCTATGTCACCAAGTTAAAAAAATTGCTCCAAAATCCCTAAACAAAAACCTCACATACGAAGTGAATTGAATGAGCATAGCTTGAGTAATCGTGGCACTTTTGGAACCGGTCTTCAGAAATAAGCATTGTAATGCCATGCGCCTTGAAAATAAGTCAACAAAACAAGATAACAATGACAGTCACTAAAGATATACATTTATGCTGGGGGGTCGGGAATGCAGTTCTTTTGTACTTCCAGTGGGCATGCTATGATGCACAAGAAATAGGTAAACGGTGAAACAACATACATATAGAAACATGCCATTAAAAATTGGAGACAAGCTCACAAGTATGTATGGAAACTTACTTAGTCAGTAGTGCTATATTGATATAATCAATATGAACACGTTAGGCTTCAAGAGCTTTGTAATGGGAAAAGTCTCTCCCAGAACAAGTTATGTTTTCTAGTGTTTCATTTCTCTACTTTCCTTAGTTTAATATTCATGAAGGGCTTCAAGAGCGTTTACTGTAAGTATGTATTCCACAAGTAAAGGTGTGGTTCCATTTGCATATAATTTTACTAACATTTCAGATGAAAGAAACAGTTCTTTGTGAAAGTAAAACATATTGTAAATTGGTAATAGTTACACATGTAGTGAGTTCAGATGCGTAACTTCATAGGCATATCATCTATTGTCTCAGTAGTTGCAATTATAGTTAATACTCCCTCCGTTTCTAAAAGAAACTCACACTTTCCTTTTTGAGATGTTTCAAAAACAAAGTCACACTTCCTTTATTTCCTTATTTGGCAAAGAAATCTACATCCAAACAGTGCGAAACAGTGCCAAACAGTGTATAAACAGTGTTTTCTACAGTAAAGTCAATTTATTTCCTTAATAATCGTGAAGTCAAACTGTGACTTTCTTTTGGAAACGGAGGGAGTGTCTCTTAGCCTTTTTCCGAGGCAACTTTATGTAAAAGATTTTCTCCGATGTTGATTATGTATGATATGTATTTTGGATTCATTCTTTGGGATAGATGAATTGCTGGATGAAGAAGATTTTTTAAATAACGGGAATTTAGAGGAAGAGGTTGAACTCTACGTAAGTATTAATCCATCCTTCCCAAACTAATTGTTGTTTTAGCAAAATTCATTTGTCCCAAAATAATTTTTGTTTATACAAGTCCATGTGTACTTTTTCTAATCTTCCTAATTTGTCCGTTTAAGTCTTCATTTATTTAATGCTTATATAACCTTAAACAAATTAATTAATCATTTAATGCTTAATTAAAATAATGGTAGAAGACTCATATTTTAAGAAACTACTACCTCCGTTTCTATTTGTTTGACATAGTTTGACTTGTCAAGGATTAAGGAAAAAATGTTACTGAGAGGTAAATTTTACTGTAGAGTACACTTTTTGACACTGTTTGAACACTATTTGGCACTGTTTGACACTGTTTTGCACTGTTTTGGTAAAGATTTGTTTACCAAATAAGGAAATAAGGAAGTGTGGCATTCATTTTGAAACATTCAAAAAAGGAAAGTTTGTCAAACAAACAAGGAGTATATGATATGCTCACTTTGTAGAATGTCGATTAAATTTGGGATCAACGACGTATTCTTAAGGGATGTAAAGCTCACATTACTAGCTTTGCATTTAAGTTTAATGCTAGATAGTTAATTCATGTCACCATCAATTTAATCATCTGATCTTCATTTAAGGCTGGCGATGGATCTGAGGGAGGCGGGATTTCTCTTGCTGGGACGCCATGGGACAAAAAAGCATTAGAAATTGCTGAAGAAGTTGCTCTTTCATTTGATGGAGAATTGGGAATATACGCCTTTAAGACACTTAAAAATGCCAACATTCAAGTGCGAGTGGAGAGACTCACGAACAAGTAAGCTAGGATGTGAAGTATGTGATTTTATTATTTTACCATTTAACCTCTCTGAACCTGGAAAGAAATGTCTGTCGGTTTCTTATCTCGAATTTCAGGGGGGAAATATCCCAAATTTAATATGGTTATGCAGGTCAGGATCTCCTAGCATGATGGATATTGAAGATTTCTCATTAGCTTACAGAGAATGGCTTGATGAAGCTGAGTCCTTAGGATCTGTCCCAAATAACTTATCCCTGGAGGTCCTTTTCTCTAACCTCTCTGTGTTAGCTTTCTATGGCATGCACCTTACTTCTGAAGATTCACTGCCCTTATTTTCAGTTTTCTGTCTTGGCCTTGTAATTTGTTTTGTAATCAATGAGTGAACATGAGAGTTGGGGTCTCCTGTCTATTTTTGAAACTGTATAAAAAGCTTTTGATTTTCCTAAATTTTCTATATACTTCATATATTGCAATGTGGTTACATCTTCCTCCCCTGAGGTTTGGTGCAACTATCCAATGACATTCTTGGTTCTTAAAAACCCCGTTTGCTCCTGACCAGTCGGATTTTCCCCAAACAACCCTGTTGAGTTTTGACTCTAAAATGTTATAGAATATGATGATGTTTTCAATAATGGCTTGTGTTCAGATGAAGATTTGTGTTTATATCGAACTTTATCAATTTAAATATTTACATATTTGTCTAAAGAGGAATCTTTGAGACAAACACCTAGGGAGATGGATGTAACTAACCATAGGAATCTTTGTAACATGCCTCCGCTGTATTTTGTTGTATTTTTCAACCACCTTGAGGGTCATTTGGTAATTTGATCAAACCTTAGAGAGATATAGCCTGATATGATATAATGTATTTTTTCTCTTGCATCTGAAAAATGTTTGCCTTTATTAGGTGTCATCACCTGGTGTGGAGAGGGTTGTTAGGATCCCAGAAGATCTTGACCGGTTCAAGGATCGCCCAATGTATGTAAAGCATACGATTGGCGAAGCAGTCGAGCATGGCCCGCCTGCTGTACGCGATGGTGTGTTTAGGCTCATGTCATTTGATATGGAAAAAAATGTGTGCACTTGGGGATTGGCAGATGTCAAAGTTAACCGTGAAAAAGCAGGGAAAGGAAGACCGCTTAGCAAGAAGCAAAAGGAATGGCGTTTGGTCACCCCATTTGCTTCCCTACTTATGGTCCGACTACATTCTGACATTTAGCACTTTTTGTTTGTTTAACTTCTCTTTAGTATCAACAAGCTCCTTGGTGTGTGTGTACTCCTAACTCTAAGAACTAAACAAATATAATAAAATTAAGCAAAACATTAAGATCAACCGAACACCTAGAAGTAGTCAATGTATGAACGTCCTCTATTCACTGTCCAATAAGGCAGGTACCATAGGTTAACAGCATTTTGGTCAAGCAATTTACATTTAATAAAAAATTCAGATGCTAAGATTTCAATATCAATGACTGCAAAAAATCTTTTCCCTCCCCTAGGCTTTTCCAGGGGCTGGGTGTATGCCATTTATTCCTTCGCCAGATTTCCAGTTTTCTACCATGCATGAAATGATCACAACTATCGATGGAGGATATGGATATGTATGCCAAAATGTCGTTGCAGGACAAGGAGGAAGATGAATTGAACGTAGGAGTCACTTGGGAGTTGGGAGGATAACCTGGAAGAAGATGAATTGGACATAGGAGTCAATAGGGAGGTGATAGAGTACTCACAGATTTGTATAGAAATCAAAGTAGAAGAAATAAACTTCAAGAAACTAACAAGCTTTCATTAATGGAAGAAAGATGTACAGAGAGTTTCCAAATGGCCGAAGCCCTCAGAGAAAGAGAGTAATCTCAATCTTCCCAGTCCCAAGACAAAAGTCCAAAAACAGCCTCTCCTTTCTCTCAGCTTTATTCTATTTATATTATTTCAGACTAACGGAAGGTAGTTAACAGCTCAAACAGAATTATAACTACAACTAACTCTTCTATTTATTAGTCTAATAGGTTGATCCCTATCAGGAGGATAACCTGAATGCAACCCCATCAGGCCATTATTATGTTCGAAATGGAAAATGTTGCAATGACAAGTTGGTAGCAGTGGAGATCGCAGAAACTATGGCCTTTGGCCATTGACAGTCTGAAATGTGCAGAGAGCAACTAACAGTAAGGTTAGAGCATAAGATTAGGGGTTTCGAGCGGCCAGTGGTAAGCACTAAGCAGACTCTAACTAAATGTTGATGCAGCTAGGATGGGTTATACAAGATGCAGCTGGGTTTGTTACTGCTATAGCGAGCTCGTTGCAGTGGGTTTGTCTGGGGCAGGAAGCTGAGGCTTTACGCATGTAGGAAGCCCTTAGTGGGATGAAGTCACATGGTTGGGATGATATCGACTTGGAATCCGACGCTCTCTAGGTAGGGGTGGACCGGGCCTCGGGACGGGCCCGGGCGGTACTAATTTTTTGGGCCTAAGGCTCGGTACCGGACCGAGATTCCACCGGGACCGGACCGGGCCGGTCTATCCGCCCGGGTCTCGGGTTGGTCTACCCGTCCGGGTCTCGGGCCGGTCTACCCGCCCGGATCTCGGGCCGGTCTACCCGCCCGGGTCTTGGGCCGGGTCGGCATCTTTTTTTTTTGAAATCTTGTTTAAAAATTAATTCAAGAAGTGCTAGATATAAAAAAGTTAAAGTACTAGTACATTTATTTGAAATATGAACTACACTTGAGAATTGTGAAAAATTTAAAACATTAAATACATACATTTCCTAATAATCAGTCGGAATCTCTGGCACCGTCGGTTGTTGTTTCATCCATGAAGTGGTTGGTGGGGGCGATGCTAAGTTCTTGAGTTCTACGTTCGGCCTTCAACCAACCGTGGAAGCAAACAAGCATCTCAAGAGGTTTTGCGCTGAGTCTCGTTCTATAATCTGTTAGGACGTTGTCGGCCGCAGTAAATTCTTGTTCCAAGACAACTGTTGATATCGGCATTGATAGGACTTGCTTAGCCATCTTTAATAAAACCGTAAACATTCTTTATTTTTTCTTCCACCACTTCAGAACGTCAAAGTCATCAGTGTCTTCATAGTCAACAGGAAACGTTAGATATAAAGAAAGCTCGTTAACTGAGCTTTGTGCAACAGCAGGAGTTGTTTTACTTTTTTCATAAGATTGCCAAATGTAGATTTCAAAAATGATTTTCCTTTATATGAAGAAGATGTTCGTGTCAGGAGAGGGGGCATTATCATATTGTACATGAAACTCATTATATAATTGATGAAATAAAGTACTAACCTCGCTGTATTCTTCTTTAGGATCTATGAGCTTATCTTCATACATAGGAAATAGACCAAAAAAAGAAGCATAATAGTACTCCAAACAATTTTGAAAACCATTAAGTTTGAAACGAGGATCAAGAATAAATGCAATATCATATATATGCGGAATATGTGAATAATATTTTAAAAAATTTTCTTTCATGTAATCACAAAATGATGAACGTAAGGGGCATTGGAAAATTCATCAAAAGCATCGGCGAGATTAATATCTTCAATTAATAATTGGTTTGCGGTAGGTTTATAAACATGACTAAAAGTTTGGTTTGCATTATTAAAATATACCAAAACATTGACAAATTTTTTCATAGTGTCCATGTCAGCCGAATTTATAATATAGTTAGCATATTCTTTTAAAAAAAGCAGGAAAATGGTCTTTAAATCTAACAAGTACAGCAATTAAGTTATAAGTACTATTCCTGCGAATAGGCAAATTTTCAGGAAATTGACAATATTTCACACATCTATCCCTCAAATATTGACGTCATTCCATTTTTAGTGGATTACTAGCTCAAATAAGTTAATCTTCCCTTTCACTATCTCCATAACATTTCCTAATGCGGCTAGTCCGTCTTTTACACATAAATTGAGAATATGACATGCACGACACTGATGAAAAAACATACCCATCAAAGTAGAAGAACCACACAATTCACGCAATCTAGGCGATAGAGTATATTCTCATATATCCTGGGGGTCATAATTGCCAGTCAAAGGCCACAAAGGCATCTCGAAAATACTTAAAGTATCAAGCTTCCAACAGAGGCCGACCCCGACCTCGACCCTCTGAGGTCGGGACCAAGCATAAGACGACAAAGGACATAAGACCCAGCTGAGACCGACCTCGACCCTCCGAGGTCGGCGAAAACACCGAGCTCATGAATCACCAAGACAAGGCAAAATATGAGGCCGACCTCGGGCACACCGAGCTCGGCACCAACTCTGACCTCTCACACTGATGCAAGGTTAACCAGAGTCAAGCGAAGCCAAGAGAGTCAATGCTACAAGACAAGACCAAAGACGAGAGACAGATTCTCTAGTAATGAGCACACACATCCGAGCTCTGACCTCAGGGAGCTCGGGGTCTCGCCAAACACTCTATGGACTTAAGCATTTCGCGGAACCAAGTGCCGCATAAGCTGTCGCCATGTCACCAGTACCCTAAGAGGTGCCACGTCACTCCCAACGAATAAAGTGAAGAATATTTCGGATAATACACGTGTAACCCGCACGTGTAATCCGGTACCAGTTTGTTACATGCAGTTCAAATCAGTCAGATGCTCTACTTATCTCTCCAATCACCTTTACACTTGTCAACACTCTATTAGATTAGTCTGATTATTCTGTTAGGCAACTGGACATGTGTCATCTCCACAATAGAATAACATCTTTTTTACTTGGGCATCAAGTATTATTCTTTTAGTATAAATATCACCTTCCAGCATGTGTAAAGGGATCCGAAATTGAATACTTTTGCTAATACTCTGCAGAAATTCTTACTTGATCCTACTTGAGCTTTTCCGATCTTCTCCCCTTTACTTTCCTGGATTCCGGCTACCCCCAGGGTCGGCAATCCATCATTTTGGTGCTCTCGTTGAGAGAACAACAGTAAATCAAGTCCAGATCCTCCCCTTTTTCTAAATCCACAACAAGCTTTTCTTCGACAGCAATAGCAGGAGGAAAGAGAATGGTGCGAAACAGACGTGTTGCTGCCATTGTCGCCAAACCTGAACCTTAAGTGGAGACGACTACTACCTCCAATGCTCGGAGGGCTGCTAAGGGAAAACAGGATGCCCTAGCGTCCGCGGATATGCACAACCAGATCCAGTGAGGTTCCCTAGATCTCCGCCACCAGATCTCTCAAAATCGCGATGCAGCGGCAATGCCGCCCGCTCAAATGATCCCGCAATTCCAGAATTTTCTAATTGAAGATACTTCTGCAGCGGATGGCGCTCTCATCACCGGATTGCAGCAAGTGATACCCACACCGCAATCCGAGACGACAATAGCTGTGGCAAACAATGCCACGAGGCCAATCTCTCCGACGTCATCCAGATCTCGTGTCACGCCCCAGACCGCAATCTAAGCGCGTGTACAACCGCCGTATAATCAAGTGACGTCACCCGCAGGTCAACCTCACTTAATCATACAAGGCGTTCGAGAAAACAATCCATCCATGCTCAGTAGTAAACATACATAACAAACATCACAATTAAACCATTGAATAGCAGAAATATTCAGCGGTACTTCATAGGCCACATTCGACCAATAACATGGGCATGGAAACCCAAAAGTAGTCTATAATAAATAAAAGTATCCATGAGCAATGTTTGGTAATTTGAAAGAAAACGAGGAAGCACGAACCACGTCTTCCTTGATTTGAAGTCACCCGTAGAAAGGTGCAGGTAGCAAGCCCCAGCCTCAACCTGAAAATGGTGGGCCCCCCGAAGGGGTCAGTACAAGTACCGAGCGAGTAGCAGGCTAAATATAGAATAACTAGCGTTTCAAGTATAAGACCCAAACGTAGGGTGATACTTATATAAATAGTCCTTTCCCCCAAGTTAAAAAATACTTAATAGTATATATATACACTTGGAATACCCGATCCGTAGATCACCGTTTTATTTGGGGAAAATAGTAATAGCCAATATTCTTGACTAAAACCCTCAACCCACCCATATACCTATGAGTGTATAGGACTCTTCCTTGTCCATATATCAATATCATAATCTATGAGTTTTGAGGATCAAAATCCTTGGGTACTCCACCAATTTATATTTGAGTGTTAAGGACTTTTAGTCCTAGGGTCCTCCACCAATATATAATCCGAGTGTTAAGAACGTTAAGTTCTAGGGTCCTCCACCAATATATAATTTGAGTGTTAAGG